GTGATATTTTTTGTTGGTAAAAATATATAAGCATAACACCTTCCTCAATGCTATAATAGATATCTTCTCAAATATGGAAAAATCACCCAAAAAAAAAGGTTAAATACCCTTTTGGTCCCTCTACTATAGGAAAAAGCTGCTTTTTAGTTCCTATACTAAAAAAAGCTGCTTCTCAATTATGTCTCTTTTTTGATATCGTTTATGGCAAAGCCTCCACGTTTGCTTGGCGGAACCAGATTTGATTAATGGGTAGAAAGAATCTATTATATTTTTGTATCAACAAGATTCAAAATTAAAAAGTCATAATATTTTCCTTTTTTAATGAGTAGGACTTTACAACTATAAACCTTGAAAATTGTAAAAGTTTTTTGAGAGAATGGTATGGTTTATGCCTAATCCTTCCCCAACACAAGGCCGCCCTTGCACTACGTATGGTAGGTGCTTCAAGCTGCATGTTATCATTTGAGAATAAAGTTAGCTTATCCGGGAAAAAAGTTAGCTTAGTGAAAAGATTTTGAGAACAAAGTTCCAAATGTAAGTACATTTTGCAATATAAATCATAAAGTTGCTTTCATCTTAGGTGGTGCTTTAAATGCCGAACCACGTCGTTTTATTAAATGAGCTCCGCCTAAAAATTAACATTACAAGTTGATACTTAGTTTTTTCATGTATAAAATTATTTGCTAAAACTTTATGTAAAAGTTAAATAACTAAATTCAATTAAAATAAATATTAACTATGGTAGAATTCTCATATGCTTCAATATATTTTTTTCCGTTTATTTTTAATAGATTTAATTTAATTTTTTAAATATAGATTTAAAATAAAAATTTAATAAGTTATATAAATAACAATTAAAAAAATTTTTCTTTCCACATAAAGTTCTTGTTGGGTACTTTAATTTGTTTAAAAAAATTTTAACTATTATTTATATAATATGTTAAATTTTTATTTAAAATTTATATCTAAAACATTGAAAAGTTAAAAAATTAAATTAAACCTATTAAAAATGAATGGAAAGAAT